TCAGGAGTATGTTTTAAAGACCAAATACAGGTGTAAACAAAAGAATTGCTAAGGGGCTGGGGCTGGGGCTGGGGCTCAGTGGTGGAGCATGTGCCTCCCACATGTGAGGCCCTGGGTTTGATCCTGAGTACCACATAAAAATAAATAAAGGTATCGTGTCCATCTAAAAATTAAAAAGAAAAAAAAAACTTCTGTGGGGTCTAAGGAAGAAATTGTTGACTTGGATCTTGAACTTGGATGGGTATTGATGACATTAAGAAAAGGTTCTACATTAATAGGAAGAGCTGCCTTGAGCCATATGCGGAGTCTGCCTGAGGCATGTGGAAGCTTAGAGGCCAGTGGACACCTTTGTATAAGAGTTCAGAGCTGGGAGGGAGTGGTTACTTGCTGGGTTGTGGTGGCACGCAAGCCCTCGTGGACGTGGATTGGACTTCTGAGGCTCTAGGGGGAGGGACCCAAGGCACTGGTGAGCCTGGAAATGGACGGCTTCTTGGGGATGGCTGTGGGGAGGGTGGTGGACATGGAGGGGACACTGGAGGGACATGTGGGTAGGCCACCGTCAGAGGTGGGTATGAGAGACGGCGCTGGGGTGCGGTGGTGCCTGGAGCTCGGCTTTCCTCATCTCTGCTGGACCAGTGGATCTAAGGGCCACATACTGGACCAGCCTCGGCCACCGTCCCCTCCCTTCCCAGCACACGGCTTGTTTTAGCTCCATCAGTTTGGACTGTCATTTCCTGGTCTAGGTAAAACCTGATGCTTGCCTTTCATTGCTGCCCATGCCAGGGCAGTGGGTGTCTCATGATGGCCAGTCATGCTGGGCCTGGACCTTAACCTCATATCTAAGTTTAGTTTAAAAGTTAACAAAGAAAACCCCTGTTTGGCTGGGGTCATGTTCATGAGGTCTGTCCTTTTATTTTTATCCTTGGATTTTTTTTTTTTTTTTTTGTTACTGATTGTGTGTGTGTGTGTGTGTGTGTGTGTGAGAGAGAGAGAGAGAGAGAGAGAGAGAGAGAGAGACACACACACACACACACACACACACACACACTAGGTGTTATTAGAGACTGAACCCATGGTGTTCTACCTAGCACCACCCCCCAACCTTTTAATTTTGAGACAGGGTCTCACTAAGTTGCCCAAGATGACCTTCAACTTGTAGTCCTCCTGCTTCAGCTTCCCAAGTCACTGGGATCATAGGCATGCACCACCATATCCAGCTCATACTTAGATTTTATACTGTACTTTTTCTTTTAATTCATGAGCAGAAATCAGGAAATATTTTCATTCAAAAAGGCTTGAATTTTAAAAATTTTAAATATAGAAGTATTATAAAATATAATTTTCACCACTTTATATTCAAAACTGATTTTTTTTTTAGAGAGAGAGAGACAGAGAATTTTTTTCAAATATTTATTTTTTAGTTATTGGCGGACACAACATCTTTGTTTGTATGTGGTGCTGAGGATTGAACCCGGGCCGCACGCATGCCAGGCGAGTGCGCTACCGCTTGAGCCACATCCCCAGCCCTACTGATTTTTATGTTATATAAAAGGTTATAAACTTCTCCTTGTTGAACAAAAGTGTTTTCTTAGCCTTTCGATGAATTTCACACTTTGGTTTAATCCTGGTGAAGTGAAAGCTGACCCAGAAGAAATATCCTACCTCTCAAAGTGGGTCTGTGACACACAGAAAGTGTCCCTTTTACATGGTTTGTTTTTGTTTTTGCTTTTGTCTTTTGAGGTTGGAATGCAGAGATGAGGCAGGACTGATGCTGGAGCCTCCTCTTGGTGAGGCCTGGGGTCGGCTGCTCACCTGTACTGCACGCACAGCAGCCCCCACCGGCTGCAGCTCTCATGCTCCCACTGTGAAGCACAGAGGGTGAGAGGCTTGCTGGGAGGTGGCTTGGCAGGCGGAACCCAGGCATTGGCTGCCCACTTCCTGCCGGGGACTGCTCTGGCCGCATAGCCCCGTGTCAGGAGCTGGGGAGGGAGCAGCAGGAGAGAGTTAGGGTGGACGGTGTGGCGCCCGCCTGGCTATGATGAACGCAGAGGCTGTTGTGTCACTCATCTGTGTGGTGGAAGGTTGAGCAAATGCTCTCAGTTTATTTTTCCTTTTATTACTAATCGCGACTTTAGATCTTTCCACTTGGATCTAGTGAAACTGTCCATTTATTCATCGAGTGGGTGTTTCCTTAGTACACACTATGTTCCCAGCATGGCCATGTTGCAGCAGCACAGACGTGGACAAGACAGACGAGGCCTTGCTGGCATGAGCTCACATTCCAGCATGAAAGAGAGCCAATGCCTAAGTGGAGAGAAGAGAATAAATACAGGGGAAGAGACAAATTAACAGAGGCAGGCTGTGTTGGACAGGGTTAGGGAGGAGCATCTCTGAGGGGGTGACGTTTGTAGATGAGCAGCGAGTGAGATAATGAGCCTTGGGGAAATCTGAGGAGTGGGCTCCAAGCAGAGGGACAGATGGTGTGGAGTGAAGGAACAGCAGAGACCAGGAGACTGTTCAGAGCCAGGGGGAGCTGTGAGGGACTAGGAGGGGTGCGGGCAGGGCTGGGGGCTATGGTCCCCATCCAGGTAGGATCTGAAGCAGGGGTGGGGGTGGGGGGGTATGACCTTCACTTTGGTTGCTGTGCATAGTGCCTTGTGACCTGAAGATGATCTTGGAAGAGTCTCAGAGAAGGTGCTGCGTTGTGAGCAATGGCCTTGTAGCTTAGACTGGCCTGTTTCTCAAAGTCACTTTTTTTAGTTCCACGCAACATCCTTTTGTATTCTCCCGTGTGTCAGTCATCTGTATGGAGGGTGAGACTGTGAACCCCTGTGGTCAGCAGATAGCATTTCCTCTTAGGGTGACTTGTCAAGTCTCTGCAGCAGACAGCAGCACCGTCAATGCTGGGGAGCAGAACTTCAGCTCTTCTGAACTCAAAACAGCGGCTGACATGAACTGGCGCAGTGAGACGTCTTCCTCGCAGCTTTGGCTGTGACATAGTCCCTTTGAATTTTATTTATATGTTTAGCAACAATATATCATTATTTTACATTCTCTGTATTTGAATGTTCCAGGAATAATCTAAATGAAAGTGAAGTTCAGAACAACATGTTTTATATCTTGTTTCTGAGATTTGTTCTTATAATTTGAATTTTATTTCTATATTATATGTCATTACAGATGACCATTCATATACAGTCTTCTTCTCTTTTTTATCTAAAGTAGCTGAGGTTTCAGAAATGATTCTTCTTATTTGAATTCAGATCCTTCTGGATTTTACAAATTGAACCTGGATTTTTTATGAATTTTTCAGACATGGTGATAAAATTCTGTGAAATATAAGGAAATACTGTCACCCCATCAACTTTGATGTTTAAAACGGTATTTGTTTGGAGGTAAACTCCCACATTTATTCATTTATGGTTGAAGAATAGAAGCTTCTAGTTAAAGTCTTTTTTTTTAATATATATAATGAAGGTTATCAGCCACAAGATTCTCGCATTTGTAGTTTATAAGGAACTAGAAATTGTGTCAGTGGCCAGATGTTTTTGCACTAGGGCCAGGGCATGCAAGCTGCAGGAGTGGGCTGGTGGCACGGGCTCTTGGCACCTGGTGCAGCCCCGCCACCGTCCTACACAAGACTTTGGGGAAAACTTTGTTGGGGGAACATTTCTAAGGCATGCTGCCCACTGTGTAAAAGCAACCATCAGAAAATAGTTTGGCTTTTCTAGATTTATTCAAAACTTTCTTCCAAGATTTAGATGATGGATTAAAAATCATCTTTTTAAAATACCTTTATTTCTTATGTGCTTGCTATGGATCACTGAATGAGGTATGGGAGTGAAGCATTCTGACGAATTGCCATCCAGGCCAACAGCAGTGACCCGGGGGCCCTTTCTGGTCAGGGTGTTGATGTCAGGCTAAGTTACCCAGCAGGCGTCACAGTTTGCAGCCGTCACACTACCAGGACTCCCACGAACAACAGAATGAACTCTAGTAACCGAAAGTTTTTATATTCGATGACTTCACTGGGACTTGTCTAGACGGCAGTTCCTCTCTGAAGTCATGGCATGTTAGGTCTGGGGAGGGCTAATGAGATGTGCAACTCAAGACGGCCTGAGTCTGCTTACCACTGCAGCCATGGCTTGGGGTCTGGGAGGTTCAGTGACCTCAGCCTGGAGTGGGAGATGGTGGTCTGGGGAGGAGCCTCTCCTTGGTTTCCAAGCAGCACACTGTACAGAATCCTTCTTCTCCAGAAGTAGCAGTGCATTGGAAAGCAATTTAATTCCTGCTCATGTTTGTCAGAGCAGACAAACTCCAGGAGGTACTACCTAGAGAAAGTGATTGTAGTCAATAAATTCGTAGTTGTTTGTATTGACTCTACTTGGCAAAGCAGTGCTGGATTAAAAAAATAATTCTAGCAGCATGATCTTGCTGGTAAAACCCATGTGCCCCCAGATACCTAATTGTTGATGGGGTTCTGTTTGGCTCTGTGTGGTCTCCAACCTCAGCCATGTTAGTCACATCAACAATACAATGCAGTAGAAAAATGTTTTTATTTTTAAGCTGTTTTCTTGATTATTGACATAAACTGTCAGATGTAATTTAATGTAAATCCTGAATTCTGTAATACAGGTTTGCTGGCCTGTAAGTAATAGGGACTAGAATGTACCTACTCGTCCCGAGTCATCCGATTGCATTGATTGGCTTAGATTTGTTCTGAGATCAGGACTGCAATAGCCTTGTCTCTGAGAAAGTGCCTGAGAAGCCTGGATGTGATTTGGTGTTTAAACAGTCCTGTGGGTGGTACATGGAGAAGTCAGTGTCCAGAGGCCAATGTTAGCCGAACTTCTCCTTAACTTTGTGAATGTAGGAAGGTGATTTATGTCACTCATGACTTCCTGATGATTTAGACTCACTGGGAATTAATATAAGTGCATTGTATTTAGTGAGTGCTTCTCCCACAAGTACACTCTGCTCTAATCCTTGTACCTCTGCAGGAAGCTGCCCTCTGCAGACAGCTCCCCATGGAAGCCGAGACAATGGCCGCTGTCCAGGCTGCTGCAAACCCTCCTGCCATGACCCCAGACATGAGATCCATCACTAATAACAGCTCAGATCCTTTTCTCAATGGGTAAGTTAACATTTGGGGGACATTTAATTTTGCTCTATTTATTATGAAGTCTAGACTAAAAGGGGGTTTGGTTTACACTGGGAAAAGATAAGGAGCTTAAGGTTTGGGGTGAGAGCAGGAAGTGGGAGGAACTGGTAGAAAAAAGAAAAGCCAAGGAAGTCATCTGCCTTTTAAAAATTATATAGTCAGCCCCTAGTGCACAGTTAGAATTGGGAATGCATTTGTCATTTAAATAGGATGGTGTTGTCTAGTGTTTATACTGGGAAGAATCTTATGGCTTTCGGTGGCCACGTGGGGGATAAAAGCATATTATGTGGCAAGTTGAGAACAAAATAATTAAAGATGATATTTTGATGGTGACATGCAAATAAGGCTATAGTTTAGTTAGTAGGATTCCACAACATCTGTTCCCAGGCTTCTATACTGCACTGTGGCTGTGTGGGATGCTGTCATAGAAGAAGTTGGGTGGGGGGTGCACGGACACTCTAATCGTTTTGCATCTTCTGTGTGTGTTTAAAATTATTTTATAATTAAAAACTTAATTAAAGTAGATGATGTTTCTTTAAAAAACAAACGAAACAAAGGAGCAGAATGAAAAGATACTTTAGGCAGTGGTGTCTGCATGTGCAGATGTCGCCATCACCTGTGGCCTTTTAAGCACATGGGGGCCACTCTCTGTTCCCCATGTCCTAGTGCCCTTGCTTCTGGCAAAAGAATACAAGTAAAGACAGGTAAGAAAACAAACATGAACTGAAATAATGAAGGTATGAGTATTTTAAGTTGTTGATTTTAAAGTACAGAAAAGTGTAAAGAATAACAAGGAAGTTACTAATTTACCCACTACCCAGATTTGCCATATTTCCATCCAGTCTTATATTTTTATAAATAAAGTATTACACTTACCATGTGAAGCCATCCCTCCAATACTGAACTCTCGTTTCTTTCTCTCTTCTCTTCCTCATGTAGCCACTATGCAGGAACTGGCGTATGCCCATCATGTATATATCTTTTGTTAGTGTGTATATCCATAGCAGTGTTGAATTTTGTTTTCTGTTTTTTTTTTTTTTTAAATTCCACATAAATGGTATCATACTCTGTAGAACAGTATCCAAATGGTTATTTGAAGATGGAAAGAAAATCAAGGGCCATTCATTGTGAATGGCCAGTTTTGCTTGCTTACAATTTGATTACATTAACATCAGAATGTATATTTCAGAGTGAAGGGAGGTGCTGTCTTCTCCCTTCACTACCTGGAAAGTTGAGCCAATGACAGAGCCACACGGTTTCTGGGGCTGTGATGCGACTGTGCAGTGCATTGAGTGGGTTAGTGATGTCTCTCCCTGATTTGCTCTGCAGGGGGCCCTACCACTCAAGGGAGCAGAGCACCGACAGCGGCCTGGGGTTAGGGTGCTACAGTGTCCCCACCACCCCTGAGGACTTTCTCAGCAACGTGGACGAGATGGACACAGGTGGGGCACAGCCTGTCAGTGCTTACAATGTGTTTTCACTTTCAATTTGTCCCTTTGTCACCTTAACTCTAAAATCCAACAAGAAACACAAAATCTCAATGACAACATAAAATGACTCCTGAAAAGCTGCGTAACCCACAGGCACTATTAATTAATCAATTCACTATTAATGAATTCCAGCCTCTTTCCCAGAACTTCCCAAACAGTTTCATACATGGGCACAGGATTTTAATTACTGTTTTGTAAAAGCTCATCTCTGCTCCTCATAGTCCCTTGTTCACAGTTGTACTAAGAGACCTGTCTGCTTTGCCACTCTTCTGCCGTTGCTCCTACTGTCCGTAGTTTTAAAGTATAATGGACAGGCCACTTTTTGTCCTGGAAAATGTTGCTAGTTACAGTTCCGCCAATCACAGATGTTTCCATGTTATTTGCTGCATTTGGGGAGCAACTGGAAGTTGGCATGTAGAGAGGTAAGTCACTCAGAGCATGTTACACTGTCGACTCGGAGTTCCACGATGGTGATGATTCCCTCTCTTGCAATTAAAAAGAAGAACTCCAGAATGACTTCTCCCTGGTCCTCAGCCTGTGCATCCTCAGGCCAGGGCTCGGCAGGCTTTGAGAATGCCTCCTACCCCATTTCACTACATAATCGTTGCAGAATTTATGCTTCTTGTATGTATGTTTTGCAAAAAAGCGGGGTGCAACCTTTATATGAAGCTTTTTTTATTGTGCCGGTGTTACTTAAAATTAATTTATTACTAAACTATTTTTTATGCAAGATTAGGGTGCACAGAATACTGGAGAATATATGTCAATGCTGTGAAATACAGTACTTCTCCCATTCTCTAGGAGGGAGCCCTCCAATTGCAAAATCTGAATTTAGTCTTATTTGCTTAATCTAGACTTAATTATGAAACTCATAACTCCCAGAAAATATTCTAGAACCAGAACCAAATGACAGCTGAAGTGTCTACTCTTTGGAGTTACCCAGGCAAGTTTCTCCTCCATTGTCATGGATGATAGAAAATTAATCGTTGTGTGACAAAAATTGAAAATTGCTTCCCCAAGCATTTGTCTGGAGTGCCTGCTCCTAGGTGACTCCTTTGAGCCGTGGTCCCTGTTGTCGGGGGGCCTGAGAGTCAGACCAGCCAGGTCCTGGGGTGTGGCAGGGAGCAACTCCTGGGCTGGGTGGTCCTGCGGCCTTGCTGTCCGACGGCCGCACAGTGGTCTCCTGAGGAGCTGAACAGAATAGTTTGAACTATCATTTTACTGTTCTTCAATTCATTGCTGCTGTTTTCTCTCTCCCCGTCCCCTTTCATCCTTCTTTCCTTTTTGGTGCTAGGTTTATTTTGCTTCCTTGGATCGGCCTGATTAAGGGGCTCCTTCTTATATAATAGCTGTTTACTTTCATCTTTTAAACACAAGGAAGCCAGTAAGGGCAAAAATCAAAAGTTAGATAAGGAAAAAGCCTCTGGAGATCTAAAAAAAGAAAAGAAAGAAAGGATTCTTTTCCATGTTTTAAAAATTGTGACCTGAAGTCAGAAGATGGGGAGTGTTATGAACCATAAGGTGGAATTAAATGGTGTCTTGAAAAGAAAATGGTCTTTGCAGACAGGCAACCTGGGTTGAAGCCTTGCTTCTCTACTTTCTGGTAGCTACTGTGGGCACCTAACCTCCGTGGGCCTCAGATTCTCACCCATGAAGTGGGAGCAATGTGCTCACTTTATATCACGGGTCGAATCCTAGCACAAAAATCTGCCCCTCTATATAAGAAGCTGTGAAAGGGACTTAAGTTTAGGGCCACCTCTGTGAAGTCTTAAAGGAAGTGGGCATTAACCCTCTCAAGGGGAGACATGCTGCCACATAGCAAGCAGCTGAGGAGAACCAGGGAAGGCAGACCTCAAGTGTGGCTAAAAGACATCCGTTAATCCTGCTGAGCACACGTTGGCCACAGGCCAGATGGAAATGGGCCAGCTGAGCATTCCCTCCTCACCATGCACACCAAACAACAGCTGGGCTTGGTGTGAGGACAGAGCACAGGGACCAGCATGAGCAAAAGCTGGGCTTGCATCCATCCTTCTAGAACTTTCTACAATAATCACACCCTTGCAAGAATTGTCTGGTTTTTATCTCATCTACTTTTTAAAAAACTTATATATATAAAAGTTATACATGGACACAATGTCTTTATTTTGTTTATTTATTTTTATGTGGTGCTGAGGATGGAACCCAGTGCCTCACATGTGCGAGGTAAGCGCTCTGTCACTGAGCACAACCCCAGCCCCTGTCATCCACCTTTTAAGTGGACAAAACTACAAAGACCCTAGTATTACTAGGAGATTTCCAAGTTGATCCAGGCAGACAGTTGAAGATGGTCAACCCTGAGGAGAAGCTCGACCTGACTCCCTGTGCTTCCCATCAATCCTGGGAAGTAAGGATCGGAGTGAGTCCTTAAATCAGGGATTTCATTTGACTAAAATATATGTTTTAAGTATTAGAAAGTTGGAACAATGATTCTCACTGGAAATGAAGATAAAAAAGATATCTATCCCTTAAGATTGAATAGCTTTTTGGGATAGATCAATTTTAAAACCTCCTTTTCATCTGTTATGCTGTAATGGTAGAAGAAAGTTATTTTGGACTTTCTTTTCTATTTTTAATGTTGTTTTTCAGTATCTGAAGCACTCTATTGAGGTCATGTTGTTGCATATAATTTAATTTTTCAAATTACTGCTCTTCAAAAAATACTATAAAATATCAGCCAAGAGTCATGGATATTTTGTGACTTCTAGAAAAGCCATGTGCTTTACTGTCACCAAAAGTTTTCTTCCTTCACCACTCAGTAAGTCTTCCTTGGGAAACACATATGGATAAAATAAAATTTCTGTACTTTTATCAATATGATGCAACCTGTATGTATACTTTTTAGGAAGGCCACTGCATGTATAAACCAAAAACTAACATAGCGAGTTTCTTCCCTTCCAATGTTGTTCTGGTAGAAGCTGGCCTCAGTTATCAGTGCCTCTCAAGTCAGTTGTTTTTTTTTTTTTTTTTGGTAGTTACAAATTGATATCATGCCTTTATTTTATTTACTTATTTTTATATGATGCTAAGGATCAAACTCAGTGCCTCACACATGCTGGCCAAGTGCTCTGCTGCTGAGCTGCAGCCGCAGCCCTTCTCAATCTTTGAGGTAGTTTATCCCTTCAGAAAATGTGGGGCTGTTTGAATCAACTAGTTGTTCAATAGTTGAATGCCTAGATTTTTCTTTCTCCTAGCATGATCCACAAACATTTTCTGTTTTTTATGTGGACAGCCTTGGTGTGTGCCAGACACTATTTTGCATTTTATTCATTTCATATTTTATTTAGACAAGCAAATATGTCTAAGGTCACACAGCTAAAAGTCTGGTGACAGGTCTCTGAAGACTTCCTCCAGTGGTCTTACAGGTGAAGGACAGATTCTTCCTGTCCTGTTCCAGCTACTCAATGTTCTGGCGTTTTCTCAATGGTGCTCTGAAGTATTCTGGTTTTATTCAGAGATACATTCTGCCAAAATAGGATTAGATAATTTATTGGGTTTAGGAAATCGTGGTTTAAGCAAAATAAAAGGAGGTGGCTTGTCGTGGGGTGTGTGGGGCGGAGGACCTGCAGATCCCCTGTGTACATGGTGCCCAACACCCTCATGAAGACAGTCTTCTAACATGGCACGAGTAAAAGAAACCTCACACCACTGTCCCCAAACATCAGCAAGGATGGCGAGAGTAGAAAGCAGCTCACAGTCAGACCATGGAGTGCAGCTGTGTGATAAGATATTCATCCCAGGCAGGGCCTCTGTTTCTTGAAACAACCCTTCATGTCTCTGTCACAGGAAGGCATAGATCCCAGGCTCTTACATTTCCATTCTGGGTCACGGCTACCCATTTCAGATGACCCCAGCACCTCTGTACCTCTTACAAGTGAAATTCATTAATGTACTGTCTGAAAGTATGAAGGTAACAGTTGTGTTAACATTTAAACTGTCCCTCTCGCAAGACCTTGCAAGAAGAACTTACCATGGCTTCCTTTCATTCTGTTACAGGAGAAACCACAGGTCAGACACCTATGAACATCAACCCGCAACAGACCCGCTTCCCTGATTTCCTTGACTGTCTTCCGGGAACCAACGTTGACCTAGGAACGCTGGAGTCTGAAGATCTGATCCCCCTCTTCAATGACGTAGAGTCGGCTCTGAACAAAAGTGAGCCCTTTCTAACCTGGCTGTAATGGCTACCATTTTGTCACTGGGGTGCAGCGCAACCTGACATTTCCTAGGCCTCTTGGAGAAAGCGACAGTGCACGGCTTTCTGCCTCTGTGACTCCTTTTCCTTCCTGTCCATGTGGCCAGTTTCATCAATGCCTGGTTTTGATTGACAGTGACTTAAGTTAAACATGAATAAATGTTCTATCTTTATTTTCTGCAAGCCTGCATTTCTGAGACAGATGATGCAGAATTGTGCCTATAGAATTGGTTATGCAGAATTACTTCTCTTCATTCTCTGCTGCCCCATGGCTAAGCTTTATGTGTATTAGTTGAAATTTATACATAAATTGATTATAAACCATAGAAAGCTGATCACAGCCAGTGAATTCAGATGGGCAGCTTGGTCCAGGAAATGTGCACAAAATTTGACCTGATTTACATCTCTAAAGCTGAGTGTATTACAGTAGTACCAAGTGCTTTAAACCTACTCAATGAGTTTTACAACATTGTTGTATTGGGTAGCAAAATCCTGCTCTATGGAATGCAGCCTAGTTTTGAATCCATGCTGGCTCTGACAGCCTCTGAAAGAGGGACACACAGTTCTATTGGAGTGTCTCCTTGGTCCTCTGCTGCATAGTATCTGTACAACCTGGCCTTCCCAGCAGGAGGGTAACAGCAGAATCAGCCACAGGCTTATACTAGAGACCTGTGAAAGAGATCAATTTCAGACTAAAATGAGCATTTATTAAATAAAACTTTTTTTATATTGCAACTTAGATTTCTAAAAAAAAAATGCAGCTCAGAATTCAATGTTTATTTTATAAAACACTGTAATTTTGTAGCTGACAACAAAGACCAACTAGATGTTTTTGATAAATCAGTGGCAACTGTATTTTTGTCTTTTGAAACTATTCTGAAACATCAGGACAACATAGATTCAACCTAATAGTACACGCAATGAGCTGTTGCTTTTTAAATTGCGAAGCTTTGTCAGTTTTGTTTTAAAAATTTCTAATGTTTTAAATAATCACATCTATGAAACTGAAGGATGAAGCAGATCTCTGACTGACGTTTAAAAAGTCACCCTCCAAGGGTGTAGTGGAGACATGTTTCTGAATGCAGGAAAATTGGTTCCTACGTATATTATCCTAACTCTGTTGCTACAGTTGATCTAAAAAGGCATGAGCTATATACTCAATACCTCTTATAGAAACAAGAATCTCTCCTCATTAGCCTTCAAGGACTGAGAGTGGCATGTTCACCTGGCACGAAGCCCCCTGCCTCGCCAATGAAGTCCTCGACTGTTAATGTTTTGAACTGACATTATTTATACTCTATGAATTTAATCTCTTTTTTCAAAGACATTAATAATTCAGGTCTCTAAAAGGAAACATTCAGTTCCCATGGGGGCTTATTTGTTGGGGATCTTAAATGAGATCCTTTTTGATCTACCAGAATAGAGATGCACAGAATATACTTGATCTAGTTGGAAAGAAGGCAAGTGAAAAGGTCAGAGATGAAGTGGTAAATTGAATGGCACGTAATGGAAAGGACACTAGTGTGACATAGAGACAGACAAGGCATAGTCCCTGAAGGTAGGACAGGCAAGTGTGAGAGGTGCCCCCATGGAGCAGAGCAGCAGCCTTCTGCCACAGACTTTGTGCCAGGAGACTGTGGTAGAAGAAAAGAGGGCTTTGGTGCACTTTATGGGAGTTGGGGGCCAGCCCTGTGGCACTGTCCCCAGGGCACTAAGCAGTGGGCAGACATACGCAGGGACGGCTGTTGCCTGCGGCACTGACTGCCTGAGGTCAGGGGCTTTTGTTCCACTGATTCCTTTTGCTCTCTCTAAGCAGAGAGAGGTGAGGAAGGTGTTTGTGTTGCTACTAAATTGAAAGGGAACACTCTTTATTTTCCTCTTTTGTTAGCAAAAATTGCAAAAAGAGTTGTACATTCTTTCTAAGAAAAAACAAATAGAAGGGACCTAACAGAACTCAGCAGTGTTACTGTACTTTTAAAAAATATTTTTATAGACTCATTTTCAGGTTATTAAATGTAAAAGATACAGATACCCTTTTTTTTTTTTTAAAAAAAAGCAGTTAATCATTGATGATTTACATTACCACCTTTTAGGAGTAATTTTCTAGTAAGCTTGTGCCATTAGAAAATTCTAGGATCATTTTTTTAGTGAAATTAGTTGGAACATTTATCAATGAATATAATAAATATTTTTCAGAGTAAACTAGGGACCTTATTTGTTTACTAATAGATAAAGCCAGGTATAATTTTTTGTTGTTTTTAAGGCCATTAAATATGGTCTCATTAAAGAACATTAAGGCTAAAAATCTAAAGTAAGAGCTTTTTTTTTTTTTTTGGCGGGGGGGAGGTGCTGGGATTCAAACCAGTGTGCCAGGCCGGGCTCCACGGAGCTGCACCCACAGCCTGTCAGAGCAACTTTCTGATGGCTGTTTCTCTTATTTTAAGTGTTAAAACCCCTCAGAAGTCATGATAAGGTGCTATTTATATTTCTTTTTATTAAGACAGCTGCCAGGATATCTAGTATTTTTCATTCAAAACCAGTCAATAAATTTCACCATCTCATCCCAAAATCTTGTTAGAGAAAAGCCATATTTCAAAATCGAAATTGAAAAGTAATTTCAGAGATTTTTTTATTCAAGATTTTTTTTCTGATAAAATACATTTTCTTTTGAAGCAAATAAATTGTCAAAATTTATTTGTCATTTTTTAAAATCTAAGTAATTGGTAGACAGTGTTTCACATTAGTACTTAGGATATAAACTGCCATTTCTTTCACTGAGCACACAATACACAGGAAGGTGTGAAACAGAGTGGAGTATTCTGTGTGCTGGTAGCTGTGGCCCCCACCTGGTAGAAAAGCTCTCTGCAGAAGAAGGTGGAGCGACAGACTTGCTGAGTACAAGTCACATTCTCACCCTGTAATGAGAAAGGAACTTCTGGAAGTACAGCCAACTTCTGTGAAAAAAATAAGCTGTTAAAAAAAAAAAAAAAGAAAGAAAGAAATTGTGGACTAATTTAATTGGAAAAATGGGTGATTTGACAGAGACTGTTTCCCCAACACTACATCATTTGTGCTAGTACTTTAAATTTTTTAAAATTTTACTTCTACATTTTGTAATATGACGTGTGTTTATTTTTAATTTAGAATGTTATGCATAAAAAAAGTATGCAGCCAAATCAATCAGATCAAACCCTTTTACCTGGAGTTTGGTACTGATTTTTACTTCTTTGATTCTGTATAAGAAAAATAAATACAATTGAGTTTCCACTTGGAGTCTTTGTCTTGTTATTCATGTATGTTCTTCATACCGAGCGTTTTGGGTGGAACAGAATGGAGAGACTTATGTAACCTCTTGGCAGACAACAAAGGAAGGAAAATTCTGTAGGAAGATGCTTTTTTTGGCTCCCATGCCTGAACTTCAATACTCTTCAATACTCTAGATGTCGACAGAATTCTAATTTCCACTTTATTTGAAGTAGCCCCCTGAGATTAAAAAAAAAAAAAAATTGGTACCAGTGATTGAACCCAGGGGCATTTAACCACTGAGCCACATCCCCAGCCCTTAAAAAAAAAAAATATATATATATATATATATATGGTAAATAAATATATATTATTTAGAGACAGGTCCCACTAAGTTGTTGGGGCTGGCATTGAACTTAGAATCCTGCCTTAGCCTCCCCAGCCATTGGGATTACAGGCATGTGCCACCACTCTGTGCCCCTCCATCCCCGCCCCCCGAGGTTTTTTAAAAGTATGTATTTCTTTAAAAAGCCATGCTGTCCTGCCAACAACTTCACAGAGGTAACAAGACATCAGAATTACAGGATTCTTATTCTTGCCTATTATTGACCATATGATTTAGCTTTTTGTTGTTGCTCTCAAAACTAAAACCAGAGACTCAGTAGTCTGAGGCAGGAGGACTGCAGGTTTGAGGCCAGACTCAGCAATGTAGTGAGACCCTAAGCAACCTAGTGAGACCCTGTCTCAAAACAAAAAATAAAAAAGCACTGGGGACGTGGCTCAGTGGTAAAGTGCCCTGGATTAGATCCCTAGTACTAAAACAAACAAAAAGCCTAAAATCAGAATAGCTGCTCATCATTCATGCTTGGGACAGTGCTCTCTGTCCTTAAAGTTTCTTTGGATCCCATTGTCCCATACTTGTGTCCACTGGGTGGATGGGTCACGTGAGAGCACTGTTTGGCAGGAGCCTCAGAGGAACCTGGAAGGAGGTGCCAGGGGAAGTGGCTTCTCAACCTCCCAGGATCTGTGTCATCATTTGTAGGTGTTAAGTGTTCAGGGTTGAAAATGTTAAGCATCAACATGTCAAATAAAAAATCTTCTATATCCTCTCAAATCTCAGATTTACAAAATATATATTTATTTTCCCCTATAAGTTGGATATTTTAAATCATAAAAGCAGTACCTGCTATTTTGACACTTTCACTTTTTTCTCTTAACAATAACTGATATCACTAATACTTGTTGAACATTATGTCCTAGATGTTGTGCAAAACACCTGAGAAGCATCATCTAATCCGTACAGCAATATCATTTCAAATACTGGCCTCAATTCCCAGATAGGGACATTGAGGTGTAGAGAAGTCAAATAATTTACACAGGGTTGCCCAATAAGCAACAGATACGTCAATGGACATCTCTCTGAAGCCAGATCCTTGTCCCAGTGCTGTGGAGGGAAGGGCTGGTGGTGAGCACAGCGTCCACCTAGCACTGCAGCCCAGAACCCGCACTCCCTGCCCGAGCCTCCTGGCCTCAACCTCCCCTTCCAGACCAATAGGGGAAGGTTGAAGTGGGGCAGACCTGAATAGGCTTGCAGGGCTAACCAGTGTGTGATGGTGACTTTCCCAGACACTGAAAAGCATTCATTTGGACCAGCAGCATTGACCCAAGCATGTATGAACCTCTAAACCGACCCACTCCAATGGCACCCCTTGTGTTCTCTCTCTCACTCCGGAGGACTTCTGTTTCCAGTCACAGTTAAGTGAGTCCTACTGTTACACTCACCCATGCTCCTCTGTGGATTTCGTTCTTCAAATTTGTCGGACAAAATCCAGAAAGAAGAAATCTGTGGTGAGCTGCTGAAGTCTGCAGCCTGCCCTGGAACAGAGGTCTGCGGTCCACGCAGGTCCCGCCCTCCAGCAGAGGCTTCATT